GCTAGGCACATCACAACCATAGTCGAGAGTAACGAGAAATAACTGCGTGTGTGCCTCCGGCTCAGCTCACTCTCTTACACAGTCCAGGATCCACACCCAGGTAACCATGCTGCACACTTTCAGGTTGGGTCTTCCCACATCAACGAATGCAATCAAGACAGTCCCCAACAGACATGCCCATAAGCCAACCTGCTCTAGACAATCCCTCACTGAGACCCTCTTCCTGGGTAATTCTGGATTGTGTCAAGATGACAAACTAGCCAGCACCATTACTGCCACTGTCACTAACCACCTAACAGAAATGACTTAAGGGAAATAAGATTTATTTTGTTCATGGTTTTAGATGTCTCAGTCCATCACAGGTATGATAGAGCAGCTTGCATCATGGAGGACAGGAAGTGGAGTAGAGCAGGGACAGGAAGGGCAAAGGGTAAGAGTACACCCCAACCACATGTTCCCAGGAAGCTACCTCCTCCAATTCAGCCCTACTTTCCAATAGTCCGGACAGTCACACTTTTAATCCATTAGTGGATTAAACTATTTGTTACATCAGAGCCTTCTTTATTGAAGTCTCTGGAAATGACCTCACAGACACACAGAGGCCAGCTTTATCATCTCCCAGGGGCTTCTCGATCCTGTCAAGCTGACAGGATCACCATCACACTCTCCAATACCATGGAGCGTCCTGATCCTGGCATTTCTCTTGGCTTTTCAAGGGGATGAAGGCAGTGAGTCCATCAGTAAATAGTAGTGACTTCTGTCAGCCAGATACCCTGTGACAAGCGCCACTGGATGAACACCACACAGGTCACTCACTTTTCCCAAGATATTCCCAGTCAGCTTTGTTACCTTCTTACTGAGGACAGCTTTCCCCCACAGCAGGAAACAGCTTACACACTAGAACATCCTCACTATCTTACAAACCTGGAAAATATGCATGGGATTGGCCAAAAAAGAGGAATTTAACACTCAGTCAGAAGAACAGACTTCTATGGGTGGACTTATCAGAAATTGTTGATTTGGGGCTGGAGAGATGATGGTTCAATTGTTAAGAGACTGACTGCTCTTGCAGAGGACCCAGGTTCGATTCCCAGCATCCACATGGTGGTTAACAATCGGCTGTAACTCCAGCTCCTGGGGATCTGATGCCCTCTTCTGTCCTCCTTGGACACTGCAGGACATGGGTGCACTTGCTTACATGCAGGCAAAACACTCATACACATAAAATAAAAATGATAAATAAAACATTAAAAAAAAGAGAAATCATTCATTTGATGTTTGGTTTCTCCAGCCAGATGAGGCTCTAATCACTCACGACGCCTAACTGCATGTACACATTTACATGTGCTATTCTGACAAGTGTACTGAATGACTCTAAAAGTGGTTTTCACAGGGCACCTCAGGCTGTGTAGTGAGTACAGCTGCTCTTCTGCTGAGCCTCATGACACAGAAGGGGGGAAAGCCGCACAAAGCCTCCACCGATGGGAAATTCACAGTAGAAAACTTCCCAACACAACCAGCCTTCTGTAGAAAATTGTTTCCTACTGGGCCCTGGCAGAGACTTGAACCACCAACCATGGGATGGGATGCTAGGTGATCATGGAGCCCTGACGTTTGCATTCCCTGGCCTCTGAGTTAGTCGCTGGTGACACTCTGGCGCTCACCTTCCCTGAGGTATGTATGGTCACACTGGTGCCTGTAGTGTCTTCCTCCACTGGGAGCTCTGAAGGTTAAAAACAGCCTGGCACAGAGACACGGTTCACAATGGTCATGGATAGCTGTGGAGCTATGGTGATGGGAATTCCCTAACTGGCAGGCATGGTGCATTGAATGAGAAATGTCTCCCATAAGCTTGTGTATTTAAACTCCTAGTCCCCAGTTGGTAGTACTGTTTGGGGAGGTTATAGAACTTTTAGGACAAGCATCCTTGCTGGAGGAAGTGCATCACTGGGGGTGGGCTTTGAGAGTCTATAACCTAACCCTACTTCCAGTTTGCTCTCTCTGCTTCCTGGGTGTGGATAAAGATGTGATCAGCCAGTTTCCTGCTCTGGCTACCTGCTGCCATACCTACCCCACCATTATGGACTCTCCGCCTGGAACCATAAGCCCAAGTAAACTCTTCCCTAAGTCGCTTTTGGTCATGGTGTTTTATTAACAAAAAGTAACAGTTTTTCAAACTGTACATTTGATTTCTACTTCCTCAGGTCTGAAAACAGTAAGGAGCGACTGCCACGGATCCTTCAGTTAATGACAGTATTAAACCAGTGGGGCTTCATTGGTGGTGGATTGGCCTCACGAGATTCAAGCTGGAAAGCCTTGTGCAAGAATGCTCTTCCTCCCTGGTGCTGGGTGGCCTTTACTCACTCCTGCCAGCCAGCGCCACTCTCTGGTCTGGGAGCATCTTCCTTCAGCCACCTTGCAAATGACTGACTGGTTTCTCAGACCCGTTGTGACTCTGGCATTTCACTCTCTGAGCAGCTAGGTCATTACTTTTATTCTTCTATAGAACTGCTCTTTTTTTTTTTTAAACTGAAAAAGAAATGCATTTTTGAAAACCTCCTCCTCTCCCCACCCCTTCCTTCTCCTCTCATGGATCCCAGACTGGCCTCCGACTCATTATGTGCGGGAGGAAGACCTTGAACTCCCAATCTTTCCCCTCTGCCCCTGAGAGCTGGGGTCACAGGCTCAGGTTCCCATCCCTGCTGTTCTTTCTCCTTCCTTTTCTGTCTTTTTGGGACAGGGTCTCCCTGTAGCCCCAGCTGGTCTCAACCTCACAGTGATCCGCCTGCCTCTGCCTCCTGAGTGCTGGGATCAAAGGTGAGCGCCACCACGCCTGGCTTTTTTCTTTCTTCTTTATGGTCACATTACTTTTTTTGTGATATGCCCATTTCAGAATTCGTTCATTTAATGGATCTCTGGGGACGGGCATTCGAGTTACTCAGGCACCTTCAGTGGTCTTAGCTCTCAGGGGTCTTCAACTGTCCCTACCATATGCACATTTTGCTTCCTGTCCTCTGTGTGTGAAAGAACCAGGCAATCTTAGGGATTGAAAAAGAATTCAGACTAGCTGGAGAGATGGCTCAGAGGTTAAGAGCACTGGCTGCTCTTACAGAGGACGGGGGTTTGGTTCCCGGCACCACATAGTGGATAACAACCGCCCATGACTCTAGTTCTAGTGGATTTGACACCCCCTTCTGGTCTCTGCTGGCACCAGACTAGCTGGAGAGATGGCTCAGAGGTTAAGAGCACTGGCTGCTCTTGCAGAGGACGGGGGTTTGGTTCCCGGCACCACATAGTGGATAACAACCGCTCATGACTCTAGTTCTAGTGGATTTGACACCCCCTTCTGGTCTCTGCTGGCATGGGGGTTTGGTTCCCGGCACCACATAGTGGATAACAACCGCCCATGACTCTAGTTCTAGTGGATTTGACACCCCCTTCTGGTCTCTGCTGGCATTGTACCCATGTGGTGCATTTACACTCATGCAGGCAAAACACTCATACACATAAAATGAAGAAAAAATTAAAATTATAAAAATATTGCAAAAAACTTAAAGGAACCCAGAGGCTTATCTCATCAAAGAGAACTTACATGTCAGAGGACAGAAAGTCTTTATTTATATTTATTTATTCATTTTTGTCTTTTTGAGACAGGGTCTCCCTGTAGCCCCAACTGGCTTGGACTCACTATATAGACCACTATGTGGCCCTCGAACGCACAGAAATCCACCTGCCTCAGCCTCCCAAGTGCTGGGATTAAAGGTGTGTTGCCACCATGCCTGGCTATAAAGCCAATTTATGAAACCAACTGTATTTCCATAAATTTACAAAATACAGAAATGAAATGAAGCAAAAGCAAATCCACTTCTGTTTTCCTGTCAGTCCCATGAGGCAGGGACAGAGGCAGGTAGAGGGAGTCTGAGGGCCCGGACAGCTCCTCTGAAGTGTACATGGGAGCAAAGGCAGATAGCAGCCATGGGAGGTGATGGGGGGGCGGGGGCAGGGCAAAGCTGGAGGACCCTGGGGGACATTTCCCAGGTCAGCTCTGGATGGATCAACTGATGCAGAGAGGCTGGGAAAAACTCTTCAGAGAGCCACAAACCCAGTTCCCTTGGGGCTTAGGATGAGGCTGCCCCCTGCAGGCTGCTGCTGAGAGCACATCATTGCTGGCTTCTGGGGCCCGGTCTCTCCTCCCATCCCCTTTGGGGTTTCTCCTGGGGGCACATCCTTCATCAGCCACTTGCCCACAAGCTCTTGGGGCTCAGTATTTACTTGTAGGAATGCAAGTGAAGACAACCTTTCTTGATGGTGACGTGTATGTGCATGCGTGTGCGGGTGCATCTGTGTATTCATGTATGTTATACATTAGATGCAACTTATGCTGAATATATATATATACATACACATATATATTAAAGACACCTACATATGATTATAAGCCATATTGATAAAAATAAACTGTAAATAAACACAATTTTTTGTACCAAAATGATCGGGTTCAAATTTTCTGCTAGAATAAATTAGAATTCATTTTCAAGACATAATCCACCCAAATATCATTTTTTTAAGCAACATTATTTCAAATATTTTTCATGTATTTACCAAATAACCAAAACCTAACCAAAGCCATCAAGCCACAGTGAGGAAGGCAAGGCAGCTTGGTGTACGCAAGCCTAGGCCCCAAACCCCAGCAGACGGGCCTGGGTTCAATTCCACGCCTCATCACAGGCTAGCTTTGGGAGTTCTTAAACTCCAGAATCTGTGGATTAAACTCTGATTTAAGTTCTTAGGCTAGAATTCAAGTTTCCCTATCTGTAGAAAGAGTAGAGTGATAGAGTACTCCTTATAAGGTTACCACAGAGGTGTGGTCAAAATCTCATCGCAGGGTTGAATTTGTGGAAAGGTCTGAAAAAACGTCTGCTGGCATTGCCAGAAAAAGCTACATGTAAGCATCCACCCCAACCACGTGTCAATGCTTCATGGAACTTGGGTATACTCACTTGTAACGTGGTGTCAAAGACAACAAGCTTTGAACTGGTTGGAACGATGTCATAGCACTTGTGTGATCTCATGAATCGCATATAAACGCCACTTTCTGAGTCTTCTGCTAAAAAGAAAAGCAATGGATCAGAGCTAATAAAGAGCTCCCCTCAACCAATGGGGCACACACGTGAAAAACCACCAAGGACTTGAGAATCAAGAAATGGTTCCTCTAAGACCAGGACAAGGCGGGAACATTAGCACTCCTAATTCTATCCAGCACTGTACTGAAGGCCCAGATGCTGTGACAAGATAAGGAAAAAAAATATGAAAGGTCCACAGGCTGAAAAGGAAAAATCCCTCAACTGTTTATTTGCACACGATATGATATTTCTACACAGAAAACAGTACAGAATCTATGGGGAAAGAGTCACACAGCTCAAAGAAATGAGTTTAGCAAAGTCACAAATACAGCAATGTTCAAAGAAAAACAGTTATTGTATTTTTTATAGATTAGCAATGAACAGATGGAATTTAAAAATTTAGGAAGGTACTTTTACGTAACGGTCATGTGGAAATGTGGATCTGCACAGGGGACTAGAAGCCCTTAAAACAGTAACTGTGGACAAATAACCAGAATATCTTAAAATTTTAAAATCTCTATAAAAGGTAATTGATAATTTAAACAAACAAACGAGATTTCTACCCAGCACCACCCGGGAGCCATGTCCCTTGTCTCTTTCAATCTAACCAATGTCATGACCTGTTAGTACCCAGATCTCTCCGAAACCCATTGGTTTCTGTTTCCACAGCTTCTCCAAGGGCCAGTGAGCACCAGCTTCCTAACTGACCTCCTCACTCTCTGTCTCATTCTTTCTAAAGCTGTTGGTACAGTATCCAGACAGAGCTGCCGCATACAGACTGTCCTGTTGGCTTCAACCATCAACTTGACGCAGAGGAGAGCGTCAACTGAGGAACTGCCAAGATCGGACTGATCTGCGGACATGCCTGTGGAGGACTGTCTTGATTGTTAACTGATGTAGGAGGGGCCAGGCCACTGTGGGCAGCACCCTTCCCTAGACAAAGTGGTCCTGAACTATGTAAGAAAGCCAGCTAGGGATAAGAAGCCTGGAGCCAGTCAGCAGCATCCTCCACGGTTCCTGTCGTACGTCTTAAGCTGTGAAGTGAGTTCCCTGGTTGGAGGTCACGCTGCGTGGAACAGCAAGCCTTCAGGTTCCTGCCTTGACGCCCGTCAATGATGGACTGGAACGAGGATTGTTAAGCTGAAATAAATCATTCTTTCCCTAAGTTGTATTTTATCACAGCAAAAGAAATGAAACTATAACAAGGTCTAACCACACCTGCCTCCCCTACTTCACTAATGAAAACATGGGCAGAATCCTTGACCTAACTCAAGGTCCTGTGCCCCAGGACTCCCAGGCTCATCTTCAGCCACAGGGTATTTGTCTGGCCTTTCATCAATGCTAAGTGCTCTTCCCCAGGGCCTTAAACTTTTGCTTCCTCTGCTTAGAATTAACTTCCCCATCTTCTCCTCTTGGCCCTGTTAACTCCTTCAGCTCAAGGACAGTTCAAGGCTCTGGAATTGGAAGTTGAACCTGAAGCCTCCTGGACAGTTTCTCTGAATGATCAGAATCTTCCACAGGCAATTAATGCACTAATTTGGTCCACAAATACTCATCATGTCTTAGTGTAGGTTCTTCTCTGGTGGCAGGAGGCAGTTCCAGAGCCTCTGGGATCAGGAGTTATTTCCTGGGCATTACCTACGGCTTTTCTGCCCTGAAGCTATTATGGCACACTTGTCACAGACAATAAACCAATGATCCAGTATTATTAATCCCTACTTATTAGCTCAACTGTCAGTTTGACACAGCCTAGTCGTCTGACAGGAAAGCCTTCATTGAGGAATGGCCGAGATCAGATTAACCTGTAGACATGTCTGTGGGGGATTGTCTTGATTATTAATTGATGCAGGAGGACCCAGCCCATTGGGGGCGAGACCGTTCCAGGTGGTTCCGGGCCGTATAAAAAAGTGAGCTAGAGATTAAGCCAGTAATCCTCCATGGTTCCTGCCTCCAGCCTCAAGTTGTTGCCCTGACGTGTGATCAGAATGGAAGTGTAAACCAAATAAACTCTCCTTGCCGTGTTGCCTCTGGTCATGAGAGTTTGTCACAGTGATGGGAGGAAGCCTCAGCATTAGGATTTCTTTAGTTTTCTCTCATGCCCGTCTTCTTGCTTAGGATCCCAGCCTCGACAGCCACGGTCACCACGCCTGCTTAGATTCCGGTGTTGTTTTGAATGAGAATGTCCCCCATAGGCTCCAAGTATTTGGACACTTGTCTCCAGTTGGTGGTGCTGTTTTGGGGAGGGTCCTTGAACCTTTGGGAAGTGTGGCCTTGCTGGAGCAAATACGTCGCTGGGGGACAGCTTTGAGAATTCTTAAGCCTTGCTGGATTTCCAGTTTCTTTCTGTTGCCTGTGGTTATTAGTGCTTGGCTTTCTGCCTCCGGCTACCTCCCGCCACCATACCTCCTCTGCTACCATGATGAACCCTTATCCCTAGAACTGTAAGCCAAATAAACTCTTCTATAAGTTGCCTTGGTCAAGGTGTTTTCTCACAGCAACAGAAAGTAACTAATGCAGCTACACTGCACAGCCGCTCAGACCACCCTTCTTTTTGATGACCCTGACAGTTCTGAGGACAGGCAACAATCTGGGTGGGGGGGTGATGGGTTTCTCATCACCATCTTGGGGTGAACTCATATCAAAGGCACAATGGCCAACAGGATTCATCAAGTTCATTACCACTATGTGCTGTGGTCTTTGTAAGAAGCCCACACTCAGTAGGTGAGGAGTCAGGTCTCCTGTTCCTTTAGAGCACCTATGTAAATTATGAGGCATAATTCTTTCCGGTACAGTTGTTCATGAGAGTGGCCATTCGATGGCATCAATATGGACTCAGGCTTATATTTTTTTTCTTGGGTTACACGGGGTTGCTCGAAGGCTGGGCCTAGCCACTCGGGCATTTGCTCTCTACTGGCACACCTGTGAGGACCATGGAGTTCACGCTGGATCTCACGCAGTCCTCCAGTCTGCAAAGGCTCTCCTGGGACTGGGCCCCTCAACCCCCCAGCCTCCATCCATCCAGACCAGGAAGTTGTTAGAGTTTCCTGGAGCGAAGCAAGGTAAGGGGAGCCAGACTCCCCTTGACAAGACGTCTTACATAGCTGCCCAGTCACATGGAGCTGTGCTCCCGACTATTAACATCTTGCCTTGTACGGTACACTGCTTGCGTAATGAAGCCATAGAGTAAGAACGAAGGAATTATTAACAAAAGCCACCACACCACCCAGAGTTCCCTGGCTTCCCTCAAGTCCTTTTTCTATGCCAGGATCTCACCCAGGATCCCACACTTGGCTCAGCCACGTCTCCTCAGGTGCCTCTGGACTGTGAACAGCTTGTCTGGCCCACTGGAGGATGTCCCACAGCTGGGATATGTCTGATGCTTTTCTTATGATGCAAAGAACACACTTACAACCACAGAATTATGAACATCTGAAGTCAGGCAACAAAGTAGCCAGTGCCCTCTTCCTTAATTTATGCTGCTTCTCCACACTTAGGAGGAACTTTCCAATTCTCAGAGGGAGATGCTTACACTATATTATGGTAAAGTCCAAAATTGCATTCAGAGGAAGTCATGTATTAAAACAGAGAGAAAATAAGTAATTTAGAGTTAAACCAAAGGGGAAAAAAACCCCATAAAAAACCCTAAACCAAACAAACCAACCCAACCCACCCAAAGCATTCAATACAGCAGGCTGTTGAGACACATCATTAGAATTCCTGAGAAGCCTAGACTTGGACATGTAAAAATCCTGGGGCTACGATGGCATCCCAATGGTCCACTCTTGCTTCTGCTGTTTTGCTTGCCTGGATGCCTAACAACTGGCACTTGAGGAACAGGTTCACAAGGTGCAGTAATGCTACATCTTACTACACTTTAAACATTTTTTAAAATTTACTTTTATCTGTATGAGTGTTTTGCCTGCATGTATATAAGTGCACCTATGTTATGCAATGTCCATGGAGGCCAGAAGAGGGTGTCAGGTCTCTTGGAACTGGATTATGGACGGTTGTTAGCCACTATGAGTATGCTGGGAATCAAACCTGGGTCCTCTGCAAAAGCAGCTGGTGCTTTTAACCACTGAGCCATCTCTCCAGCCCTGACATCTTACTACTCCTTAACTGTGTGCTGGCCCAATGCTGCTATTCAAGGGAGTTGCCAAAGAGTAATCTCAGAAAGCAGCAAGTGCATACATAATTTTTAAAAAGCATGTATGTAATTTAAAATTTAAAATAAAGGTTAACATAATTTTCAAGATGCAGCATCTAAGTTTACACGCAAACACTAAATGGGAATATATACACATCAAGATTTGTCTTTCTAAAATTGGATTTGATGCCATAACGCCCTTGGCTTAATGACTTCACATCCTGTCCTGTTCACCCCTCTCCCCACAACCAACATAGTGGACCCCATTTGATTCAAGTTCCAAACAGCCTAAGTGTAACCTCCTGCCTCCTCTCTCACCATCTCTCCCAGGAACCATGCTTTGGGGTCCTATTGGTATGTCCTCAAAGGACGTGTGTGGACTTCAGAAAGCTGACATCCGGAAGGTGTTCCGTGGTGTTGGCCTGCGTCTCTGAAGACACTGGGTACTGTTACAGTCAGCTGACATCCTTTTGCTAACAGGGTTGAATAGTGACTCTTTCCTCTAGCACATCTCCTGGAAACATCAGAATGCAAATGTTTTGCACTTAGGTTTTTTTCAGATGTCAGACCCTTACATGAGGTGTCTTGTTCATCCTGGACTGGGACTGGGCATCATGACATGGCCTCATAAGAGAGAAGGGCCGAGAGAGACCCAGAGAGGAGCATGAAGGCAGTGCAGAGACTGGAGGACACCTCTACAGCCCAAGGGACACCAAGGACTGCCAACAACCAGTGGCAGCTGAGAGGCCAGGGAGAGACCCTCCCCACCACCAGCCTCCAGGGGCTGCTGAAGACCATTTCAGACTTCTGGCCTTTGGAACTATAGGAAAATAAATT